CTGGGCCACAGTCAGACTGGGTCACCCATTCATGGACCCACAGGGCATTCCCACCTCCAGCCTTGCTCGTATCAGGCCCTGTTCCTGGAAGGCCCTTTCCACCATTCTCCAAGTCCCAGGTCTGGTGCTACCTCCCCCAAGAAGCCTCCCCAGCTCTCCTGGATCTCTCCCTGCTGTGAAGTGCTGAGAATTCCTGTCTAAACTACTTGAGGGGGTGACTCTTGGCCTTGTTGTGGCCTGGAACTTGGGGCCTCTGAGAGGATCTGCTCCAACACCCTCATCCAGATGAAGAAAATGAGGCTTTTAAGTCCTTCTATGTCTGTGTCTGGTCTCTCCAGCTCCGCATAAGGTCTCTGAGGGCAGGGACCTCCCTGCTACAGCTTTGCACCCTGGAGGACACCATGGTGACCTACTCAAGTCAATTCACTTCTCTCGGCCTCCACGCTACTACCTATAGAATGGCCTGCCTGAGCTAAAGCATATAAACTGCATGGTACATTGCCTGTCAGTGATAATATTAACACACAGCCCATCAGTGATACTGTTAGCAGGAGCTATCTTTTACCAAGTGTCTACCTGGCTCCTCCAGCTTGTCTTCTGCTATCTCTAATCTTTAGACAGGCCAGCAGGTAAGTATTGTTAGTTGACCATTTTATGTGTGAGGAAACTGAGGCTCAGAGAGAATAAGTGGCATCACACAGCTCTAAGTACCACGTATGACACAAACCCAGGTCTGTCTGACTCCCAAGAACTTCCCATGGCATCACCCCAACCCTGTGGCTCAACAGGGAGAGAACTTTGGTTTCCTAGCTGTGTTACCTGGGGTAAGTACTGTCAGGGAATAATCTGTACCTGCCTGAAAAGCTGTTATAAGGATTAGGGAATGAATAAAAGATGCCAGGCAGAAGGCAGGCACTCAGTGCCTAAGGTTGCCTATTATTACACAGCAGATTTCCTGTCATCTTGGTTGATTCTTTGAGTATCTTAAAAAATCAGAGTTACCAGGGAATAATCTTGGACAGTGCAGCATACACTTTGGGAGGAACACTGATAAATGGGCACATGTTCCACTGAGTATGACCAGATTGGTGAAGGGGCAAGGGACAGTGATATAAAGAGGAACTCCTGATAGAAATGGTCACATTCTAAGTCTGCCCCAGAGCAGACTAATAGGGCCCCATTGCAAGAAAGAACACGTGGAAGAGAAATTCAACTTACATCTAAGGAGGGCAGAATTTGGAATGAGTGGAATTTTGCCCTTTACATATAACTCTATTATAATTACAACATCATGTTCTAGAAACTGCTTTCACATTTAATCTCTGTGATTCAATTTCCACCTCTGTGAAATGGAGCCATTTATCACCATCACCATCCCTCCTTCTCAGGGTTAGAGTGAAGATTAAATGAGTTACTACATGTAAATGATTACAATTGTGCCTGGCACATTACTGCTATACAAGTGCTTGCTATTAGCATTATTCTCTGTTACTGTTGTTACTATTACTGCCCTGAACTGAAAGTGAGTGCCTTTGGTTATAGATTGTGTCTGGTCCCTCTTTGTGTCCCCAGCATTCTCCCATAGTACATAGTAGGTGTCAACACATGCTCGTTGAATCAGTTATGTGGAGGCATGTATCAGGTGCTCCAAGGAAGATCATTCTGAATATTTAGAGAACTGTCATTCCCAGCTGATGTCAAAATATTCAGTGGGCCAAGGATGCTCAAAAATAGATTGCACTCCAACAGGGATGTGTATATGTGGTGACTGGAGACATATGCCCTACAGGTGGTGTGGGTTGACCAGCAGGACACCCTAAGATTCCGTGATACCTACCTCCTCCTTTCCAAGGTGCCACTGGCCATGGCAGCTGCCTGGCAAGGGAGGGACAATGATCTCCTTGCAAATGGGGAACCAAGAAGCGCTCCCTTATTAAGCCCCTCCTCCCACTGAGATTGTTTCTGGGACTTCCTAACTGGCCATCCTGCCTTCCCTGGGACATGCAGAAGGCCTTGGCAAGCCTTGATGCAAATAGTGCTCAATTTCCTGGGCTAAAATTATATCTTGAATCAATTTTCATAAAATGTGATGACAGATTTAGGTGCTGGGAAGATGGAGCTTTCTCAGAAGGTATTAAAATACCCAAACAGTTAAAATCAGCTGAAATCTGGCAGCCAGGGGCCACAGACACAGCTTTCATCCTTCTGCACCCTTATGCAAACCCTAGGCCTGGACCTTGGTTGGAGAAACCGCTGTGCCAGCACCAGACTCCTTCCAGGCTTGGAGTGATCATCTCCCAGCCAAGATTCCTCTAACAGACGTTTTGCAATGAACTAGCAGGTGGAAAGATTCTTGTTGACTTGCAAGGCAGTCTTCCATCCCAAAAGCAGTTCCATTGAGATGGATTTGGGGTTTTCTTTAAATTCTCCATTCCTGATACTTTCCTCTGCCAGTCACACAGAGACTCAGGCAATGAAGAGGGCCTCAGTAGGATCGAGTGCATCTTCCTTTCTCCAGAAATAGCTCACAGTCTGGTGTCCTAGGGTACCCCTGTGGCTGAGCTCTGCCACCGTCACCTCTGAAGGCTGGACTTGCCTCTTGTAAATGGAGTCTCCTTGACCTCCAGGGACTCTCCAGAGACACTAGGGACTCTCCAGCTCTGAGATTCTGACCCCAGGTGTCCTAGCCTGACAGCCATGACTCCCTTCAGTTGCCTATTCTGCACCTTGCCAGCCTCAAACCCTGAACTCCAGGATCATTCATCTGCTGTCTGTTCTGGACGGGCCCCACTTGCCCTCCAGATCTACTCCCAGCCCTTCCTCACCCTGCTGTGCCTGGAGGCTAACCCATATGGACTGCATCAACAATCCCCACCCTAGGTCTTCCACTGGGGTTCCACCTGCGGGAGGCATGGCAGGAGAGCAGAAGGTAGCAAGAGAGTGACTGCATCACACAGGACTGACTGTGTCCCTCCACCAGGACCCCTGCTCCTGTTGGAAAGCCCTCTTGCTGTCCCAGGAGCTACCTTCTCCCCTTACCTCCTCAAGCCTGGAGTAGTAATGACTCCTACTGTTGCCAGCCTGGTGATTCATTATCCCTTTGGTTTCCCTAAACTCCACCCACTTCTTTATACACAGTATTACATCCCCCACTACCAGGGACCTGGACAGACCTGCTCTTCCGGCCCGCCTCTGCCTCTGCTTGCGGCGCCGTGTTTGCTGGGGGGCTCTTGAGCTGTGTCCCCCAGCTTCATGGAAATCTGGCTCCTCTAAGTGAACACTCCCACTGTCTGTGTCTTGAGCCCTAATTCCACACCTGAGGCCAGTCGTGCCCCTCTCTACAGAATGAGGCTGAGCCAGATGATCCCGGAAATCCCTTCTGACTCCCATTTTCCTCTGCTCTATCTCAGGTACCCTTTAGCCAGATGGCTTGTGTTCAGTCAAATTCCATTTAAGAAAATCCAATGAGCTATCAAAGTGCTTTAGCCAAACATGGCATTCTGGCTGCCACCTTCTCTCCTCTGAACTCCCCCATCTTATTCTCATTGCTCCTTCTCATCGTGTCCTTGGTCAGGATCATTCATGTGTGTCTACCCTTCCAGGCTGCACACTCCCTAGTTCTGGCTTGTGCTTCTGCTGAAGCTCTGTTCCTTTGGCCACCCCCATCCCCCATCTCTGCACCTGGTACAGGGCCTGGTGCCTCGTAAATGCTTCCTACTGCAAATAGTGACTGAAACGGGGGAGTAACTAGCAAGGCCCTGAACACTGTGGATGAGGCTGTACGATAATAACTACTGAGTGCTGGCTACACATCAGGCATGGTATACCCGTCATCTTTCACCCTCACCATGAGACTACTAGGCGGGTGTTATCCCCGTAGTACATATGTGAAAACTGAGGCATAGAGAGGCGACTTGATCCAGGTCCCACCTCCTGACAGGGCTGGGGCCAGAAGTGAAGAACAGGTGCATCTGTCACCGAAGCCTCCCACCTTCCCTCGGCTCTACCCCGCAGGGGTGGGTGGTACTGACAACCAGACCCTGACCCAAAAGGAGACGAGTCTCAACTACAGAATATAGTCAACGGCGAGTGGAAGTGTGCCCTTCTCCGCAGGCCCTTCCAGACTTTCCTGAATGAATCACTAAGACATTAGCACATTCCTGCTTTCTATGAAGCTTGGCCAAAAGGCCTCAAAAGTAATTCGTTCACTTAAATAGGCCAAGTGTTTCCCCAGCAATCTGGTTTATGCTTTACTTGGCCTACAGTCTTGGAGAGAGAGAAAAAAAGTAAACTTTAGCCCAGCCCCTGTGGAAATATACGCCACACGCTCTATGGACCAACTCACCCGCTTCAGAGCTTGCTCCTGCCACACCTGGAGGTAGGGGAGTGGGGCAGGTGACGGCGCAGCTCTGGACAGGCCACCAACAAGAGGAGGTCAGTTGGTAAAGCCTGAGCTACTGAAGCTTTCCTGGCTATTCTCATTCTCATCATGTCATCTGGAAGGGACTCCCCAGGCTCTTGGCAGAGCTTGGAAGCTGGGCTAAAGGATCTGGGACTTGATTCAAAGCAGAGGAGAGTCCCTGAAGGTTTCTGAGCAGGGGAATCACTAACTGAATGCTCACAGTGGTCAGAAACCGTGGGAAGCTACTGTGGATGAGACATGGTGCCAGGTGCTGCATGCATGTTCCAGGCCACCAGACAAGGAGATCTTGGAGGAAACACTCAGACTTCCTCTGTCTCCCCAGACTGGGGCACCCCAAGGGAAGGGCTGTCTCCCCCCTTAGACTGGGGCTCCCCAGTGGCAGGAACTTTCCCTCCCCTGTTAGTTTCTTCCTGCACAAGGAGGGACAAGACTCCACTGCCTGATCACCTTACTATCCTTCGGGGGGCTTAAATGCTGCAGTTGGAAGCATATAACGTAAGATGCCTCCAGTGCTGGGTAAACAGACAGACAGTCAGGGACAGGCTGGCCTGCCCAGTGGGAAAGGGGCTGTACCTACCTCCCGCCACTGCTTGTTCTCCATCCCTTGAGTATACATGACACATACTGTGGGGAGAGGAAAAGAAAAGGGTTACCACCCCAGGCCAAGAAGAAGATGGGGGCCCCAATGGGGAGGGCTTGGAGGGAAGCTGCCTCAGGAAAATCAAGCCTGGGTAAAACTGTTGGATCTGGTGGGTAGGGAGACTGGCTTAGAGAAGAGGGCCTAGAACATAGGCATGTCTGAAAGGGGAGCCCATTGGGAGGGGGTCAGGGGCCGTTCACATCTATGCCAGAGCACTACGGAGGGTCTGATGGAAGACTGAGTGCAGAGGCATGGCGGGAGAAAGCATCTGAAACCCGAATCACCCCTTCAGAGCCAAGGCAGCCCTGTGAGGCCCTTTACTATCATCAGCCTCACTTTGCTGATGGGCACACTGAGGCTCAGAGGAGGCCAATGGCCAGTTGAGGTCATATACTGAGTGGCACTGCTCAGGGCTGCAACCCTGGACTCCAAAATCAGTGCTGTTTCCCCCAGACCACAGCCAAATGGGGCTTTTTCCCTGGGCCCGAGAACTTCTGGCTCCAGACACCCTGACTGCCCAGCCCCGCTCAGTTGTGTTGAGGCCTCACAAGAATAAGGACTGGAAAGGGTTAGAGTCCCCAGTCCTCTTCCTCCACACAGTATCAGTGCAGCATTCAACAGCCTGGATGCACCTGCAACGGTGCCTGGCACCTAGTTAGCGCTCGGTAAGGGCGCAGTCCTGGTGTCTTGCTATTGTCACTGTTATTGTTGTCAGAGCAGGACTTACATGGGTCAGACTTGGAAAACATGTCTTTGTCCAAAAGGTTCCTGAAAAAGGGAAAGAGGAGGAGTTAGGGCAGCCTGAGGAGAGCAGGCTGGCAGGAAGTTCAGGCCCCTACCAAGGCCAGAAGGCTGCCTGGGGCCTGGCCTCAGGCAAAACAGGAAGAGCAGGAGGCCCCGCCCCTCAAACGTACAGTTATTAGGTAAGTGCCCTGGAGGCTCCTCGGCACTGCTTTCTAAGGAGCAGGGACCACACTTCCCACCCCTGCCGTCACCGTGCGTGCCCCACTCCTGCAACCCCCACTCTCGGGCCAAATCTCAGTCTGCCCAATGTCTTAGCCTATCCTAGAAATTCTTACTATGTCTCTCTCTCCCAAAAATAAAATAAAATAAAGTAATCAACAGAGAAGACAAGTAGTGACTGTGCCATCTTACTACACTGATGGACAGTGACTGCATTGGGGTATGGGGGGGACTTGATAATATGGGTGAATGTAGTAACCACAATGTTTTTCATGTGAAACCTTTCATAAGTGTGTATATCAATGATACCTTAATTTTTTAAAAAAATAAAAATTTTTTAAAAAGAAATAAAATGAAGTTTAGAGAAATGTTAGATTCCAAAAAAAGTCAAACAGACCAACCAAAAACTAGCTAATCTCTTTTGGGAACATGAGAAAGCATGTAGAAATACAGGCTTCTAACAAACAGGAAACAGGAAAGATAAAAGAATATCATCAATAATTAAAGGTACAGATCAGTATAGCATAGACTCAACAAATAATTTTTGATTGGTGGAATTAGATTCACAAAAGAAACATGGCTTAAATTTTGACTACTAAAATACAAATGTAATGAATTACAATAATTACAAATGATACACATGCATTCTATAATGTGATTATTTCCTGCATATTAGTATAAAATGGAGTTCCTGGGTTACATAGACAATTTTTGTTAGATTTTAAAATCTATTATTTATCCAATAAAATTTCCTCCTCTAAAAAAAAAAAAACATATCCATCTAGTGTCTCATTCTTTCAGGGCTCTACTTACAGCCAGTTTATTTGACTGTCTCATCTGTGCTGACAGGTTAATGAATTACACCTCCCAGGGGATGCAGACTCATTTGAACAGGGTCCTTCTGTGGTCAAGGCCAGAGCTAACACACAGCCCTGATAATGGGACCTGAAGGCACTGCAGTAAGATGATGGACACATTTGGGGACTAAGGTCTTTGAACAGGTGCTGAGCTCCTCCAGCCCTGCCTCTGAGCAAAACAGCTCCCACTCACTGTACCTCAATGGGGGGCCAGGCACTGAGCCAACTGGTCTGCAAATATTAACTCCCAACCCTCACGCTGCCCTGAAAGGTGAGTATTAGGTTGGCATCACCCCATCTTACAGATGTGGAAGTGGAGATCAGGCGAGGGTATGTCCTGCACACCTGTGCCTCATTCTACAGTGACCTACTGCTGTCAGGAAGCAACATAGCCCACTGGGAGCTTGGTTTTAGGCTGGAAAGTGATGAAACCTCTCCGAACCTCTGTTTCCTCATCCATAGGATGGAGACAGTAGTGCCAGCCTTGAAGATTGCTGATGCCCTATCCCATCTCCTCAGCCTTCCTAGTTTCTGTACATATCCACGGTTTCCTCTTGCATCTGCTTCTCTCCCAAGGGCTTTCTCTGGCAGGCAAGGCTGCAAATGTCAGGAAGTTTAAGCTCCCAGAGTAACCTTCAATCAATGATGGGCATGAATTGGGGATAAATACCCAGCTTCCACATTGCCCTCCCCACCTCCACACCTGGACAGCTCTGAGGGTGCTCTTCTCAGTCTCCCAGAGGGACCAATGGGACCAATCCCCAGGGGCCCACCAGGAGATCTACTCATTAAGACCCTTGTTGATTTGGGCAAGGGCCCACTCACACCTCACCTTGAAGGGGCAGCCCAGGAGCCCTCCTGCCTGTGTGAGCTGCCCGCTCCTTCTCACACTGCCCTCAAGTTAAGCTCTGCTCTCACCAGCCTTCTCAGCCTTGTCCCAACTCCCTTCCAGATGTCCCCAGGGGTATTCTCACCTCCCTCCTCCATTCCCACACTCCCCTGTGGACCCCAGTGCCCCTTGAACCCTTTCCCAGAAATGAGAAACGATTGGCACTGGTGTGGGTGGCTTCTGGAGAGCTAACTCCAAATGTCAAAGCTGGATGGGACCCTCGGGGTCATCTTCTCCTTGAAGAGGGGGAGACTAAGGCCCAGGGACATGCAGGGAGTAGCCACACCCCACAGCAAGAAGTGACCAAGCCAGAGAAGTTTAGAAGGAGACCTCATCCTGGGTCATCATCCCTGAAGCCATCAGAAGTGACAGCCGGTCTGGGCAACTTGACTCCACAGTCAACCCCACTGCCCATGACCCCCATCCCAAGATGGGAGCCAAAGCCTGACAGACAGACAGACAGACAGACAGATGCAGCAGATGCAGCCTGGTGCTGGCATGGGCATCCCCTACTGCCTGGGGAGGCCCCAGATGGTGCTTATGAATCACCCCAGCTCCAGCCCCTGAGCAGATTCCCAAGATGTCCCAGAGAAAGACATCCCTATTCTCCATCCCAGTGTCTTTATTTAGCGGCCTCTCCCCAAAGGCAGCCATCCCCATCTAGCCCTCCATGACCGTACAGCCACACAACCAACCCCTCTACTGACCCCACCATCCCTCTGCCACAGGCTCCCAGCTAGCCATCACTTTGGAAGCCATCTGATGAACCTCGCAGCCCAGTGCAGTGATAGCTAAGACAGCTTTGAAAAGTAGGCAGAAGGGGCTTCAGGTAAGATATCACTTTTGTGTATGCTCATCCACACCAAGGTGGGCTGACCTACACCTGCGCTGACCACTTTGTCCTGCAGTGTGCTAGACATGGGGGCAGGAGCATCTGTCTTGATTTAAAAAAAAAAAAGAACAAGATGCCTTAATACCAAAGATGACCACCGTAGCAGACCACGAGACATGCTGAAGAGCTTGAATGTAATAAAAAGGGTTGTCGGGGGTGGGACGTCTCTACTCAAGCAAATGCTGGGGTTTATCTTTGAATTCTATAATTACATAAAATCCTATAATGTTCCAGCTGAAAGGGACCTCAGAAGTCACATTTCCCATTCCTGTACAACTCAGGAGACTATGAGACTCAGAGAGGGCAGTTGACTGGCCCAAGGTCTCTTCCAGGTGTGGCTCTGGAGCTCAGACTTAGTTCCAGATATCTATGCGAGTGAGAAAGACAGAGAGACCTTGGAGCTCAGCCTTGGGGTTGGGGGAGGGTAGGATGGGCTCCTACCTTCAAAGAGAAGCAAGAAATAAGTGGGGCTTTTCTTGACCCTGCCCAACCTCATAGCTGGGCAAGAGGCACAGTGCTAGACTAGGAAACAGAATCCAGCCACCTAGCTTCAGTGGCTCCCTGCCCAGTGACCTCAGGACTCCCACTGAGGCCTGGGGCATGGGTCTTCCTGGCGGGTAATGCAAACCCTCTACCCTCCGCTGTGTTGAGATTACCTTTACCATCCTTCCATACTATTCCATATCTTTACCATACCATTCCTATCCTTCCTCTTCGATTTTACCTCCTCTGGGCAAACACTGACCAACAACCATTTCCTTCCCCTCCCCTGAGCTCTCTCTGACCTGTAGTGGGCAATCCTTGACTTACAGAACCCCCCACTGTACTCAGCACACCCTGAGCTGCAAAATCAGGGGTACATCTGTCTATCACACCAGCTGTGCGCTCCTCTGGGGCAGCTGCCCCACCTCTGCTACAGGCCAGCACCTGACTCAGAGCAGAGGGAGGCCTGGCCAGTTGGATGGATGACAGAACACCAAAAAGAATGTGGCCGTGTGGGTGAGCAAAGCTCTTGTCTCCCCAACTACATGGTGCCTGGTCATGCTCTGGGCCAGCCCCTCTGCTTATTTTTGGTTATAGAGCCTAATGGTTAAGTGCATAGGCTGCAATCAGACAATCTGGGTTCACATCCCAGCTCTGGTCAAGTTATTTGTCTTCTTTGTGCCTCACTTCCCACATCTGTAAAGTGGGGCTAAACAGTTTCTCCCTCAGGTCTGCTGTGGTGCCTTGGCCTCAGTAAGGCTCGTTAGACAGTCAGTCATCAGCAGCCTGGAGCTGAGCACAGCAGTCACTCTTCTGGTGGGTGTCCCACACTTGCTGACTAAGGAGAGGCAGGGTGGGCACATAAGCCATCGCCACTCTCACCGGTCCAAGGAGGCCCACCCCCAACACACACACTCCTGGCACCCCAATGCAAAATGATGTTGAACCCCCCCACACACTGGCTGAGAGCAGCCCTTTCACCCCAGCCTCAGCCTCCTCCTTGGCCTCTCTTCCTTTTCCCATCTCAGCCTGGAGGACCCTCAGCCTCTTTGCCTAGGTCCCTGCACCCTACATCCCTCCCTGATCCTTCACCTGATCCACACCTGCCCCATCTGTGCTTTGTCCCAAGTGCCTGTCCTGACAGAAGCCTTGGGGTCCACTGAGCCTGCTGTCCTGGCCTTGAGATGGTGGCTTCACCCCATGAGCAATGGGTCTTTCACTTCCTGGGACTTGCCCTTGCCCCCATTTGTAAAAAGGAAGATTCTTGGGCCCCAATAATCTGGTTTTGTAGGTCCGGACAGGGCCCCAGAGACCATCTTTAAACAAATTTCACCCATCCCCTGACCCCTGCTACACACATTGTAGTGGTCCAAATAACACATGTCTGGATCTGGGCCTTAGGGACTCAGCATCCCCCACTGCAACAAGCACACATGGATACACTGCGTGAAGGCCCTTACAGGATCCCCACCCCATCCCCTGAGGACCCTGAAGCTCAGAGATGGTGAGTGACTTGTCCACAGGCACACAGCCAGTAAGAAGCTGAGGGGAAGAAACCAGGTCTTCGGCCCCAAAGCAGGGGACTGAAGGTTGGAGACACCAGACCATAAGTGCTTTTCTCCACTTTCTGTCTTTGGAGAGCTCAAAGAGAAATTTTTCCAACAGACAAAATGTACTGTTTCCC